TTTAATTAAATTATTTTGTTTAAGACAAAGAAACTGATTTTATTATTAATAAATCTTCAAAAGGAGAACTATCATTTTTATGAGTACCACTGTTACACTAAGTCACTAAATTGCCCAGGCTGGGCTCAAACTTTTTTTTTTTTTTTTTTGCAGTACCAGGGATTGAACTCACAACCTTGCACTTGTCAAGCAGGCACTTATGCCACTGAGCTATACCCCTAGCCCTCAGGCTCAAACTGTCAATCTGCCTGCTTCAGCCTCCTGAGTGCTGGGATTACAAGCATGTACCACTATGCTTGACTCTGGAAAATTGTCTTTCTAGAACTGGATTCAGCTGTGGTTGAGATCCTCTGTAAGAGGGAAAACACACAAAGATTTATCCTGTCATGCAAAGAAACATCAAAGCTGGAGAGAAGAGAACTGATATGGAGATTCCATAGATTCATCAAAGCCCCTGGCTCTTCCTGTGTTTTTACTCTACCATACGTAAACTCCATGCTCAAGATCATCTTAAGGTCTAAGATGATTGCTAGAGCTCTAGCTATTATTTCCACATTCCAAGCCGCAAGAAGGAAGAAGGAGGAGCGACTAAATGGCACACTCTTCTGAAGTCCCACCCAATACTTCCGTACACACCTCTTTGGCAGAGATCAGCTTCAAGGAGGGCAGAAAGTGAAGTCGGTTTTAGCCAGGAAACCACAAGTCTAGGAAAAAAAAAAAAAAACTGGGAAGAATGAAGTTGGGGAGTCACCCTAGAAGATCTGCCACAGAAAGACAGAGGTGAGAGTACTTGGTGAGCCAAAGAGAAGCTGGAGAAATAAGACGGATGTTGAGCAGGAGTCACGGGTCCTCTGGGAACCAGGCAGGAGAAATGGTTAGGGAAGGACCCTACTGCCCTGCCACAAGCCATCAAGAAGGTTTAACACAGCATCTCACCTTCACATCAGTGCTACAGATTGAAACCCCCCAACAATGCATTCGATTGGTCAGCTGAGGTCACTTGATGGCGCTCTGGCCTGGGGAGAGTGGAGAGGCTTATTCAGTCTCTACAGCAGAAGGTAGAGTCCTGTCCATTCCCTGGGAGTCTCAGCCTGTAGCAAGGAGCAGCACAGAGCAGCCACAGAGGACAAGTATCTTCATGAACCACCAGACAGTTTTCCTTTAGCACCTCTCCGCTCTGCAGAGTCCGGAGCTTTCCAGACCTGGCTTCTGCCCTGTCTTCCTCTTACATTTTTTTCTACCATTTCTTTCTCCTTATCTCTTTACTTTGCACCTTCCTAGACTTTTTTTTCCCAGTGCTGGAGATTGAACACAAGGCCTTGTGCATGCTAGACAAGCTCTCTACACCCAGCCCTAGACTCTCTATACTCAGTTCCACCTAGGCACGAATAGGCAGTGGGGCAGTGTCAGAGCTGGAGGAAAGTGATGAACACATATCGAGCTCTTAC